TATTTTTATATCACTGCCTTCGACAACGTGCACAAAGAAAGATTGTTCAGTACATTAAGACGAATAAAAATGTGGCTTCGCTCGACTACAGGAGAAGATCGTTTAAATGGGTTGTGTGTGATGAGCCTTCATCGTGAAAGAGTTAACGCAGACAAAGATATTTTCATTCAGGATGTCATCAATATGTTTGGAATAAAACGAAGAAATTTGCAGTTCTTATTTACTGATACCGAATAATATACTTAATTATATTATTTAATTTCTATTTTTTATATATACTTATTAAAATTATTATTTATTTATTTATTTATTTATTCGTATGACAATTATTATTTATTTATTTATTCATATGGMAATTATTCCGTTCAGAATGTAATATAACATGCATGTTGAATGTATACATTTATATGTGAAAAATAACATTAAATCTTTATTATCTTACATTCAACATTTTTTTTTTATTTTGACCCCCCTAAAATGTTACCTATAGGCGCTCATGGCAATCAGTGAAGAAACTTTCTTTTATTTTTCTTGAGAAATACGAAAGTACCTACAGGGAATTATTCCTTTTTACCCACGCAGAGTACCAAATTTTTACTACCTCCTCCAAAAGGTTATAACAGACAAACAAATTATAAGACACATAATTGTAGAACCAACAAATTCATTGCTCCTCTCAGAATCTAAAATACCTAACTATTTGTTATTGGTAATAACGATTAATCCTAATTTATTGTAATAACTTATTACTATAAATCATACATTATATGTATGTATAGTGCTATTGTGCAACATATTAAGCATAKGCAATTTATTTAATAATTGCTAACATGTATACCTTACGTTTATTTTTATATAATGCATTTATAATATTATTTTATCGGTTTAGATACCTACCTAAATACCTGTAATTCAAAACTTATGCCCAGGGGCGTATTTAGATATATATATATTTTTTTTTTGGGGGGGGATGTGGTATTTTCTCCAACTGAAATTCCCAATTCATAAGCAGACTTCATAAATAATTCCTGGATTTCATGGGGGAAGGCTGAAGCCCCCTCAGTCACCCCCATAAATACGCCCCTGCTTATGCCTGTTATATATTTACGCCAACCGACATGAATTAATATTTTATAACTTGAATCATAAGATATTGATGTATAGAAATCCTTAAACGCCCTATACGGCTATATCTAGGTATCATTAAAACTGATAATATATTGAGACTTTATTTGAAAAATACAACTGACAAATTTAGTAAAATGTGCATAACCACAGTTGAAAGTTTTCAACCGATAAGAGTGATAATGATAAAGGTATAACGTATAGGTACATAATATGTATACATGTCATTTGCAAATGGTCGAATAATTAAATTTTTATTTGATTTTACTATCCACCAAGGTAAATGACCCGACGTTAATCTATTTCAAGTCTGCCAAATAATCAAAATAAAAAGTTTTTGTAGGTATTGTTTTAAAAACTAAACTAACATAGTAACATTATTTATTGCTATTCTATTCGTTATTTACTATAACRAATTATGTATAGTTAATAAATATGTAAAATATGTAAATATATGAAATATGTTTAATTTCGTTTATTTCGATATTATTGTTTTAAAACTTGAACCTTATTTTTTAAATTACTAATTAATTATTATACATGACAATTCGAGTATATAAAATGGATAAAAATGTATTTTATAACTATACATTTTTGTTAATTTTTAGCTATCTTAAACCAGTTAATGTTAGAGTTAAAAAAAAAAATTCAAATGTTCCAGCAAATGCAACCAAACAATGACAAATAACATTGAACATAGGTACCCATAGCCATCATCGTCTGATCGTCATTCATGTTTATCCTGAGCTTAACTCTGCGCCCTTGAAGATAAAAAATATTATGTATGACAATTTACGATATTATAAATATTGCAAACGTGACATTTTCATATTATTTTGATGTGAATTGGATAAGTAGTTTCACTTATAAATTATAATTGACAATATTATAGATACTTAATCGACAAATGGGTTTAATTGAAAATACATATTCGAGTAACTAAAATATTCAATGTTCACCTAACTTAGGTCTTATCGAGTTAAGACTAAAACTAATTTTTTCACTTTTCACAGTTATTAATAGTTGATACAATTCTTAACAACTCTTTGAATTATATTTTATATTTTTATAAAAAAATTTTTAAGGACTGTAATCCTTAATATAAACTTTTTGGTAGCTCAGAAACAACGCATTTTAATTTTGAATTAGGTTGACATTTAGGTTTTAAAAAAAAGTTATCAAGTGAATATCTTATAGTAAAAAAGGAGGGGGTTTTTATTTGAAAAACAGAAGTTTGTATCGACACAGGACACTCCATAAGTACGAATAGTACTCAAGAATTTGAAAATTTGAAAAATTCTAAATCGTAATAATTTGAACATATTATGTATTATTAAAGGAAAACAGGCGAATGATCAAGCTTTGCGAACCAGGGAAAGTTTTATCAATACAATATTGTGAACTATAACAATTTTATGTACAGTCCGCATAGAATGCATATGATTTAATTTAAACATAACAATATGTCACATTAAAACTTGATTATTGATTTGGTTTTCTGGCAAAGTTTCCATTTTTTTTTTTAAACTTAAGTTGTAATCGGGCCAAAAATACCACATTGTTATCCAACATTGATAATTTTACAATTATTCGAGTATTCCTTTCGAGTTTGATTCACCTTCCACGCTGCGATGGTCACTTTCAAACATATAGATAATAATAATATGTAACAGTTATTGCGTTTATCAGACGACCATCGTTGAATAATAAATGTCACACACACATGGATTTGAATGACGTGTAGTTTTATACACTTATACACATATATGGTCGCGTGGTCGTCTGCCTACTGCTTATAATATGTAATAATTTAAAAGTGAACGCAATCTTTTTATTGAAATATTTGGCAGCTAGGTTTTATTTTTTAATTCAATCATTATTTTATATTATCATTGACATGATAATATATCTATATTATATTCCCTCGGTCGTACCGTTCTAAAAACTCGAAGCCTTGGAACATTATGCCTGAYACGCATTTTTTAACAAAACACTAAAACGGTATTCGTTCTTCGTAGATAGTAATAATGGTATATGCGTATATACAGCCAAATAATATAAACATAATATCTAGACTACATAAATATGTAAATAATAAGTTATATACAATTGTTTTTATTTACTTGTATTATATGTTTAATGMAGATATGATAGGACCTAACTAGTTAGTTTAAGTAGGATTCAGTAGTATTGGGAAATTATTCAGTGCTTATGGCAATTATAGACATAGTTATTTAGTTTTTTAGTATTAAGTTTAAACATTTCTAAATCATTACTTATGATATAGGTAAGTAAGTTATATTCATGTCATACATCATAAAGTAATGATGCAATATAAAAGATAAGTACAAATTAGATTAAATCCAATGCTATTATTATTGCTCTGAAAAAGCTAAAATAATCAAAAACGAGCTAGCAGGAAAATGCTTTTCAGTACATACATCTAGAGGTATATTAAAAATTTACCGCATCATGGATTAGGTCACTAGCTGTGATAGTTTAGTTAAATTAAGTTGATATAAATAACATTTAGTTCAAATTATTTGAATTCGATGATAAATTATTATTAATTCATTTTTCTACATTATAGTATAATGRTATGTTGAACCTATTATTATATAAAAATGATCATAATATTTTATAATATCATATATTTTTTACTAACCGATGAAGTCTACAACACGTATCGTAGAATGCCAGAATGGTGTGAATAGTAGTTCGTAGTATACAAAATATAAATTATTTAAAATTATCACTGTGCATAAAAAATAATAATAACGAAACGTTTCCAACCTATAAACGGATAGTAATTATGGTTATTAATAATTGTTATATTTCATTTAAATATCCAATTTCACCAAAATTTGAATTTTTAACTCAATTAATCATCATAGTATCTCAAATGAACTGGACTAGACAAGTAAAATGAAATCTTGGCTAAGTTKACTCCCCAAAGTCATTTGCTACCAGAAATCTCTTTCATAATCCAAGATTGAAACATTTTTAGAAATCTTAAAGCCAAAAAGTTATTGTAAAGATACACTMAAAAAACACGTTATTCTAAAACCATGGTATGTCTCACCATAGTAAAAAGGATAGACTATAATAGTTATATATTACATCAAAAAAACTGTACTAGAATTTTGCATTTGAAATTGCATTTTGAATTAGGGTTACTGGAAGTCATGACTTTCCAATGAATTAACACACTGTAAGTTACGTGTATACGTTAATGGGTGGATAAGAATTTATTATTTAAATAAATGAATATTTAGAATTTATAAATGAAATAGATAACAGTATAATCTGAATGTTTTAAGTAAGTATACACCTTATAACAGTCGTATGTATGGATTTTTGTTTTACGTGTCATTTGTAAAGTATACCTGGGTACACAATACATTTAATAAATGTCACAAAAAAATGTACTTGATTTGATAAGTATATATAATTTAATAAATCAATAATAAATATAGGTAACAGTAGGTATAATCGTATAATATTATTAATAATTCTGAAATACCAAAATGTTTGTACCACACCAATCGATTACTGATTTTTAATTATTGTGCATACCTATATAGTTTTATTCATTGAATAAATAATTTTAATAATAATACTAATAATTTCAATGATTGTACATTGAATTACAGAGCGYGATGTACAAATTTTTAATTTTATTGATGTATTCACATAATCAATATTTTTATTTTTGATTATTTACTGAAGTATCAGTGACTATCTAAAACGTATTGGGCTGTTTCGTTTGTTCGTAAAGTATTGGCACTGGTGTCGATTTTCTAATTGAATATGAATATTGTGTGCAGAATGGTGATTCATAGGCGTCAATGCCACTGAATTAAATGTGGACGATATAAAACGGATCATCTGGTCAGTGGTAAGTATCAGTTCTTCGTCTGCRTCCAGTCGCAATCATTCAACGTAAATCAAATCGATCAACTCACAAACAAAATCGCCATGCAATTCCAAGTAAGTCGTATCRTGATAACTCTGTTCTGACAGCACCGTTCAATCGTCGAACATTTCGCGATCATATGACGTAGTATTGCTACGGTTTAAAAAAAAAAAATGTAATATGTGTCTGAATAATAATTTATTGCGAATACACAATAAACACATTCATAACATGAATAATATTAATATACTGGAAATCTTACTCTGTAGATCTAATAAAGCACGAGCTGTCATATACATATTATACATTATTGGTGTCGAATGCATATTGCTACATCGTGACAATCTTTGAATTTTAAAAATCATCACACATCATAATAATACACTTCATTATAATGCACTATATGCGCGGAATACGACGCCTATATCCTATATTATTTTTATTTTTTTTTTCGCAATCGGTTATTAATTTATTATCGTGATATCATTAATATCATACATTTTCGTTATGTTATTTCGTATGGCGGCCTTTAGTAATGAAGAACGTTGATCAGTAGTGTTATATAAGTAACTATTATAAGCAGTGGTATTAGGGGTTATATTAAATTGTTATATGTAGGTATATTAAAATGATTTTAAAATTCGTTAATTTTTATCTATCTTTACAAATAGTAAAAAATATCATCGAGGGAGGGGGGAGTGTTGAATCCTCCTGATATATACATTTCACTAAACAAATATTTAGCGATGTATAATTAACTTCTAAATAGGTAACTAAAAAAAAATGCATCTTGTGCGTGTTTCAGGTGACTTTCRCAGTGCTCGCCGCGGTCATGTGCTTCGCCGCTGCCGCCCCCGCAACTGAAGAAATCAAATCATCATCGCCATCGACGTCGGCCCAATCGGCCGTTTCTGGCGCCGATCGTAGCAAACGTTTCGTGGCCATCGCTGCACCATACGCCGCCGCACCTTACGTGGCKGCTGCACCTTACGTGGCCGCAGCGCCTTACGTGGCCGCTTCACCATACACCGCCACCCCTTACGTGGCCGCCCCATACGCCGCTGCCCCTTACGCAATCGCTTCTCCACACGCCGCTCCATACGTCTCGTCGTACACCACTTACCCGTACGTAGCCAAGACCTTGGCTTCTCCGTACACTTACTACCCATGAACGGCCGCTTTCACTCGTGACTACCCTCWGCTATATTCGGATAGAAGTACGACACGTAATGTGATGGACTGTACATATCGAATAACTTCCCAATGAAATAACTTTATGAAAAAATAAAAACTGATTAACCCTGATTGGAATGTATTCAAACATATACCTATGAAACTATGTCTTATTGAATTGTAAATAAAAATKAWATATTTTCAAATCACTTGCCTATTGTTTAATATTGTTTCCTAAAAACATCATATATTATTTGGCTTGATAAATGATAATTTTCCTAACTGTAAAGTATAGGAAAATACGAATAGCCACAACAAGGAAATGTATGTAATTTCAAGAACTAATATCAATGGTTTTTTTGCTTTTTTAAAAGTACCTATCTACCTACTACAAAGTTGATTAGGATCTTAGGTCACTTTATATAGTTATAAAAGCACAGCATGCAGACACTTTTTACTTTTTAGCATATAGGTACATAAAGTATAAATAATATATAAGCAAGATTGAAGTCAAGAACAGTTATACAAAAAATGTTATTCAGCTTARAATACATTTAGTATTATATCTAATTTGGTTATACATTTATAATTTATAAATAAACTTATTATAGCACCAAGTAATGTTTGGATGTTATGTTACCAATAGAAAAATACTATTAATTTCACTTAAAATAATTCTTTC